GTCAGTGTGTGTGTGTGAGAGAGTGAGTGTGTCTCTGTGTCGGTGTGTGTGAGTGGACCCTCAGACAAGCACCACTGACCCTCAGAGTTTCAGAAGATCAGCTTTGCAGCGGTATGGCTGAAACACTCATTCTCCTGAGAGCTAGCGCTCATTCATTCTCAAACAGATGCAGCTGAGTGTGAATAATTCAGGAGGGATTCTGAAGGTCTGTGCTGACCTGGGGCCTGGAGTCTGTGTCTCATTCCTCCCCTCTCGTCCTGCTGCTCAGCCCTCAGTACAGATCTGCAGGAGCACAGCTGGAGAGTAGTATAACCCAGAGAGTTTAGAGGGAGAGTAGAGGGTCTAGCTGCAGTGGCCAGAGAGCACCTCCCAGGTGGGGCTGCTGGTGCAGAATGATCCCTGTGCGTCTCCCAGGTGGGGCTGCCGGGGCAGAATGATCCCTGTGCGTCTCCCAGGTGGGGCTGCCGGGGCAGAATGATCCCTGTGCGTCTCCCAGGTGGGGCTGCCGGGGCAGAATGATCCCTGTGCGTCTCCCAGGTGGGGCTGCCGGGGCAGAATGATCCCTGTGCGTCTCCCAGGTGGGGCTGCCGGGGCAGAATGATCCCTGTGCGTCTCCCAGGTGGGGGCTGCCGGGGCAGAATGAGCACTGTGCGTCTCCCAGCTGGGGGCTGCCGGTGCAGAATGACCACTGTGAGGTGACTCACTCCATGCGAAATACTTCAAGGTCCTTTGAAACGCAACCAATCTCTTCACCAGCTGACTGACACACGCCTTTGCGCTGTAGCTGCTCCGCGTGTCTCCTGCCGGTGACGTGGACGTGAACGTGAGAGCGGAGGGCCATTGTGACGCCGGGCGGGGCTCGGCGCGGCTCCGCGGGGCGCTGGGGGCGGCGTGTCCTGCCGCAGCCGCCGTAGCCGCGCACCCGGAAGGACGGAGGGGAGGGGAGGATGCCCATGCAGAGGGAGACACAAGCAGGCAGGCGGCGAGGAGAGGTGTTGTGGAGAAGTTCTCCGGTGTGAGAAACTGCGCAGGGACTGGCGGCAGCGCAGAGCCGAGAGGTAGGAGCTTGTTTCGGGTGTCTTCGCGGAGGGTCAGGCAGCTGCGCTCTCCCTCGCAGGTAGTTGGCTCAGTCAGTTTAGTGATGCAGCAGAAAGTGTCCGTCCGGGGAGGCGAGCCTGCTCAGGCGTGCTGAGCACCGCGCCCGGCGCACGTCTGCTCTGCTGTCGTGAGGGACCGCGGCTCGCTGGCTCGACAGCCGGGCTGGAGCACCGTGTTGTGACATGACGTTTGTGTCGGCGAGGTCCGTCCCCTCCAGGCCGGAGGACGGGACACCCGTAGGGACGCAGGGTAACCTGGACAGCAGGTCAGCGGCGCGGGGAGCACGCCGTGTAACGTGCGAACTCCACACAGAAGGATCCCCGCTCTGGTAGGGCTGGTCAGACACAGCGTTTGGAGCAGCGGCTCCTTGTCTCGTGTCTCTGAAAGTGGGGTTCGCCGGGGCGCTGTGTGTCCGGGAGCGTGGCGTCTTTCCCCACTGGACACTGGGCTGGATCAGTGAAGAGCCCCCCCCTCCCTGTCTCCCAGCTCCCAGCTCCCAGCGTCTCATTGCGATTTCCCGGCGCTGAAAGACTCCGCTGTGTGCCGCGCCGAGCCCGGAGCAGCTGACCCGTCTATGACTCAGGGAGGGTTCTGACCGGCCCGGCTGTGTCGAATTCCCTGGATTTTCCACAGCCCGGGTCTGCGTGTGGAATCTGGGGCGTGACGTCAGCGCCAGGGGCTACAGAGGTGCCCTTCAGCCTGCAGGGGGGGGCTGTCTCCGTCGGAACAGCGGCTGGGTCCACACTCCCACCACTCTTGCTGTAGAGGCCTCCTGCCCTGGGCCTGCGTGCTCCGGTGGGCGTGCGTGTGCGAGGTGCCCCCCGCTGGAGGGGCTGCCGAGCTGGTGTTCCTGCGGCCTGTCGGTCACCTGGGCTGTCCCTCTTCCTCCCCCGGCAGCCCCTGACAGGAAGGAGCAGCCCCTGACCGCTGGCCTCAGCCGCGTGGTGCCTGACCGCTCGCCGGTGTCCAGGAGGGCCCTCGGCCCGCTCCCTGTGCTTGGTGAGTGCTGGCTGGTCCTGCCCCTGATCTCGGGGGGGCTGCAGCTGGGCAGACTGGCCTTTCTGGGCTCTGCTCCCCTACGTGGGGGCTGATACTACTGATGGGCATCCATGGGGACAGGTCTGGGGGCGTGACACAGCGTGTGGAGTCTGCATGTTGTCCCTGTCCCCCGCAGGCCCTTGTGTGCGGGGAGGATGGGCGCGGGCGCGGCCCCGGCGCTGCAGTGGCTGCAGGAGTGGGCGGCGGTGTCCGTGCTGCGTGCGCGCCGCACGCTGCTCCAGGCCGCCGTCCTGCTGTGCGTGCTGGTGCTGCTGCTCTGGGTGGCCATCTTCCTGTACGGCAGCTTCTACTACTCCTACATGCCCACCGTCAGCTTCGCCACGCCCGTCCACTACGTGTACAGGT